GACGAACAATTGTATTGCGCAATGGATAAATGTGTCGCACAAAATCGGAGTTACAATAACAGTTAAATCGTGATTTTTCATTTATAACCGTCGAAAAATTTTGTCCGGTTAGCTAATATCTGAATGTTTGTTTTTTGCGATTTTTGGCGTATGTGATCTTTAAGTATATACAAACAATTTTGATGGTTGGATCGTTGAAACTTCGAAGAATACGTATCCCATCATAACAATAGATTCACTAACACTTAGTGTGAAACCCCGTCCCTGATTTATCATATTTTGTATTATCGGACTTATTAAATTACCAAATTACCCTTGAGTTGACTTTCGTTGACCATCTCGTCGAAATGCATATTACTAATTTTCTTAGTTTATTCTTATTGTACTTATCGCCATAAACACGTAGGTGCAAACAGATTCGAAATTGGATTTGTAACGAAGATTCTACTTACGAAACAACGAATGTTTTCGGATATTAGCGAACCAAGGGGACCTATGTGGGATTCATGTTCCCTTAACCTTTACCCTATCCGAATTACCCTCTCCCCTTTTTAGATTTTCTTATCTCGCTCTCTCCCTATCACTTTCTCTCATTCCCTTTAACTCTCCCCGAGCTCTCTATTCTTTACAACTTTCACTTTCCTCCCCAAGCTCAACAACAATCACCACAACCTTCACAATCTAGACGTGGTGACCTTGAAACCTTAGGTAATAACTATGGAACTCCCACAATGACGAGGTCACTGTTCATCACATCTCCCAACGAACTCCAACGTGTTTCGTGACCTTTCCGACGTTAGCAAGTTCCTATAAACCTTTTGGTGTGTGTTTTAAGGCTAGATCAAAGCTTGTTTTAAGTTGTACACACTTGTTAAACGCAGAAATAGCTTGAAGTCAGCTTTTCCTAGATTCCAGCAAAAACTCATAACTTCCAGGCCATTTCCGGCCAAACCACGACGAATTAGCCGTCATGCAATGTATCATTCTTGTCATCTCATTGAGAACTACAACTTTTGTTTTTGAATCACTCAAATTGGTTGAGTATTGAAGAAGTTAAGAGCTTTTGAAGGTTTGCCTAGTTTTCGGCCGAAATCGAGTCAACCCGACCTAGCACCCTTAAACCTGGATCCAAGCCCAACTTGTTACCCGGCCTAACTATGCTACTTGGCCTAAACCCATAACCTTTGGCCCAAGCCCAACTACCTAACCCAGCCTAAAAACAGGCCTAACCCAAAAATCAAGCCCATATCCAAAACCCAGATCCAACCCGACCCGATCGAATCCCAGGTTCCAGGTCAGTGCATGGGCGTTTGTCTTGGCCGGCTCGTGGAGCACATAAGCCTCCATCGGAGGAACTGTGCTCTACAGCCATCCACGCCGATAACTTTTCTAACCAACTTTCTGGCGACTTAACTCAACATACGGAGGCGCGTGCAGTGGCGCGTGACCTTCTGGGCCGCGATGCGTGGGGGTACCCAAGGTTCCCCCTTAGGTTTTTCAACGTTTTGAATCCGTTTATGAAGTCCATTTTCTGAAATTCAACTGCTTCAGTAAAGTTTTATTAATTGGTCCCTTTATGTGCTTAGGTGTGTTTGTTAGTGGTGTTTTCGTCCTCCTTAGTTCGCACGGTTCTTCGACGATAGAGTATCTGTGAGTGAACCCCTTTTAAAATGCATGATTTTATTATTAGAAATGCATACATGAAAGCATGATTTTATGACTACGTTTTATGAAACCTTTATGAGTAAATCAGATTTATACTTTATGATATTTCATGCTTTATAGAATAACTATTTACTGAGATATTTATTATATAATGTTTGAGCTATTAAGCTCCAATGAGATATATTTTGGAAAGAATATGTTCATGATTTTATGTGCTTACTTAGTGGTTATTCATACTATATGCCTATAGGCGAATGATATTTATATATGGCTTCGGTCGGAAGATATTTATATATGGCTTCGATCAGGTGACGTAGTGGCTTCGGGTGGAAGATATTTATATATGGCTTCGATCGGGTGATGTAGTGGTTTCGGTCGTTTATGATACCACTATTAAGCACATTATATATGATATATGTTTTATGAAAGGTTTTATGGCATGCTAGGGTTTTTGGAAAACCTATTACTTATTATACTATTAAGTTTTCTAAAATATGGGTTAATACGTCGAAGAATAAATGTTTTAGTATTATTTATATGTAACTTGGTTCACTTATATTTTGTTTTGAGCCCCCTCAGAACCTAGGAATGAGGCATACGATCTGAGCTACGAGTGTCACATCCCAGCTAGGGGTCCACCACATCCCGGGCCCACTCCACCATCGTAGCACGATATTGTCCGCTTTGTGCCCTAACCACATCCTCACGGTTTTGTTTCTGGGAACTCACACAAGAACTTCCCAATGGGTCACCCATCTTGGGAGTGCTCTCGTGCACTACTCGCTTAACTTCGAAGTTTCCATGGAACCCGAAGCCAGTGAGCTCCCAAAAGGTCTCGTGTTAGGTAGGGATGTGAATATACATATAAGGATCACTCCCCTAGGCGATGTGGGATCTTACAATCCACCCCCCCTTAGGTATCGTTTGGTATGCAGACCGGACGGGGCGGAACGGAATGGGACGGGACATGACGGAAAGGAACGGAGCGGGAGCAAAGATGCCTTTGGATGGAAACAAGGAGGAAGAAGAAGGAGACGGAGAGGTTATAATTTTGTGTTCCATGGATGTGGAACGAGTCGTTCCAGGGGGGTGAGGTGGAATGAACATTCACCCAAAACTCGTTCTGTGGAACAGCTCATTCCACCCGTTTTAGGCGCACCAAACGTGGGACGGAATGCCTTGTCCACTCTGTTCCGTCCCGTCCCACGTACCAAACGGTACCTTAGGGACCCGACGTCCTCGTTGGCACACCACAGTTAGGGTTAGGCTCTGATACCAAATTATCACATCCCCGCCTGAGGTCCACCACATCTCGGGCCCGCTTCACCATTGTAGCATGATATTGTCTGCTTTGGGCCTCAACCACGCCCTCACGCTTTTGTTTCTGGGAACTAACATGAGAACTTTCCAATAGGTCACCCATCATGGGAGTGCTCTCGTGCGCTACTCACTTAACTTCGAAGTTCTCATGGAACCCAAAGCCAGTGAGCTCCCAAAAGGCCTCGTGCTAAGTAAGGATGAGAATATACATATAAGGATCACTCCCCTGGGTGATGTGGGATCTTACAATGAGGCATTCCCATATCAGTGAACTTGTGCCCTCTACTCTGCGTTGGACGTCTCTTGTAATAACACCTTCTATTTTACCTTCCACTTGTATTCTAAATTAGTAGTATGCTCTGAACATGTCATGCATTATCATTGTTATTTTGTTGGCAGTTGAATATTATTATATTATCTTGTAAGGTTTGTATTTGAATATTACATTGCATAGTTACATACAAAATTTTTATGCATGTTTCACATGTTCTCGACATATGCATTCATCAAATGGTTTGTGTCACTCTCGGGTGTCGGCCAGCATGTGGCCATCCCGTTGTCCTTCAAACATCAGGATCGGGGTGTGTCACTTAGAGTTTATTTATACTTTCATTAGTATCACATAAGATTTTGTGGTATCCACTAGCGTAAATATTTTAAATTGAAGATCGAATTCATTCATTGTATTCATATAGGGTCAAAGAATGTAGCTGTAAAAAATCATCAAAATCGGAGTTAAAATAACCGTTAAATCGTGATTTTCCGTTTTTAACCGTCGAAAAGTTTTGTCCCATTACTTGATCTATGAATGTTTGTTTTTTGCGATTTTTGGTGTATGCTATGTTGAAGTATATACAAACAAGTTTGCTGGTTGGATCGTTGAAACTAGTTTCGAAGAATGCGTATCCCATCAAAACAATAGATTCACTAACACTTAAAGTTTATTTATATTTCATTAAGTATAACATAAGATTTTGTGGTATCCACTAGTATACATATTTTAAATTGAAGATCGAATTCATTCATTGTATTCATATAGGGTCAAGAAATGTAGCTGTAAAAAATCATTAAAATCAGAGTTAAAATAACCATTAAATTGTGATTTTTTGTTTATAACATTTAAGAAATTGAATGGTATATATATTTATTAAGTAGCTTTAAATTTATTATTGTAGTTCGGATCTGGTTTATGTTAGAAAAATATATTATTGTGGGTTTTATGGTAATCAAAATTGAATTTGAAGAGAGTAAAGTCACATTTTCAGTAAATTTTATAATAATTTTTTATCTCAAAAATATAACTTGTGCGACGCCATAATGGAGTCGTTGTGCAAAAACCAAGAGCACGATGTCATCATGTATACATACGTTATGCAATTTGTTAAAATTTTTACGATGTAATTGAAAAAAGTAGGCGTTTTTTTTAAAAAAATTTTCCCAAATTACTCTTTTTAATTGGACAAAATGAGGGTGCAATTGGAAAACAATCCAGACGGCAGCCACTCGATCTCAATTAAATTACGTCAATATCTTATATTCATTTTTTTTAGAAAGAGAAAAACAACATAGAAAATGGAAGAAGAGAGGATAAAAATGAATGGAAAGAGGAAGAGAGAGAATCCTAATCTTGCAAAGTTACTGCTATTACATCCATTATCGATGACGTTTATGTTGCATATGGAACATAAGAAGAACTAGCTCTTTACTGGAGCTATTGAGAGGTATGAATACATCATTAGTTAAAATTCTCTTACATATAAACTATCTTACCTTACATCACCATCCAATCAAAAGGGAAAAACTAACCTAATTACGTACGATTGGTTTATATTATCACTTGATCGGGTGGGATGTCTCAACCATGAATCAACTATATGAAAATCTGCTATCAGACGTTGCCGAATATATACAATAAAATTCATAAAAAGCTTGTGCACGAGGAAAAATTATATCGTATCCACCATGCAAGAGAAGCAGTACCATCCTCAAGACATGCTTAGTTTTGAGTCTAAAGTTGTCCCAAGACCAGAAAAACGTGCTGCAAATACCTCACAATATGTATTGTATGGAAGCAAATAATTATTTAAATATATAAATATGAATTAACAGTAGAAATGATTTAAAAATTATTATAATCTCATGATCTGGTATGTACCAGATGAAAAGACAAGTTCGGGGGTCCCTCTCTCACTTCGTCTCGCTCCTCTCCTACTCCGTTAGACGAAGACAAAGACGAAGGAAGACAGCAGCCACTACCCACCCATCTGCTCCTCCGCTCCAACCTCCGTCGGAATTCCTCGCCGTTTCCTCAATTCCGAAGGTCCCTTCACATCTCTCTCTCTCTCTCTCTCTCTCAATGTTTTGCTTTTTGCTTTAATCGTTCGACATATGATAATTAGTGGGTTGTTTGGCGAAAAGGGTAGCAGAGAAAGCAAATGGAATGGTTGCAAATCTGTGATTTTTTTAATTGGTGAGACCTTAGGGTTTTGATTTTGGTAGGGTGGGTGATTTTTGTGATTTGGGGAAGCGGGTAATGGTGGGTTTGTTGTTAGGGTGAGATTTGTGAGCTGGGATTTGGTAATCTGAGTGAGTTGGGTGGTTTTGGGGGGTTTCTGGGATGGTGTGTTTGGGGGTGAGATACCATTTGGATCTGAGACTTCTAAAAGGCAAGTGAGAGAAATGGAGAGAAAGGGTTGGGAATTCAGTTTGTCTCTGGTTGATCTTGGTAGCTCATCCACTATGGATGACAATGGTGATTGCTAATATGGAAGGTCTGTACTTGTTTGCTGTCTTCAGCTAGCTTTACTTTTGCTGATTTTCCTTTTTCTCATTCTTTTTCCTTTATAATTTGTTATCTTTTCGAGTACAAAAAATTTAATAAATTAATTTATTTTCTTGTTATTATGAATTTCTGGAAATAGGTTGCTGTAAAATTTATGGAGTAGTAGAATTTGGTATGCTCATTTAAACTTAGTCGTTTACCTTGTACTGGGACTTGAAAGCCATTTATGAATCTTGAATGCAAGAGTGTTTACTTAAGCTTTCAATTTGCTTTGATAACTATTAAATGTAATGAAGTGGAAGCTGAACTTTAATGTGATAAAGCTTGAAGAATCGTACTATTTTACGGCTTGTATTGGTGTTTCGGTTGTTATAATTGATATTAAGTGCCATTATTTGATTTTCCAGTTATGGCATTTTGATGTGTGATTTCTGTGTAAAACATCTATCTATTTTGTAAGTCTTATGAATCAATAAGACTTTGAGGGTAGTAGTTGCCTTCCGTAGTTAATGAAGTGCTGTACCCACAGAACTTTATGATTGTAAACCTGAATTCAATCATATGTTTCTGCTTGTGATCAATTGTGAGGCTTGAGTTTTGCTTTGCACAGCAAGTCCCACAAATTTGTGAAATTTGTATCTCTATGGATTATATGTTTTTTCTGCATAATGGTTTTATATGTCGTTCTGGATATTCTAGAATGGCGTGCTCTTCAAAATTCAAACTTTAAGGTCTGATAGGTTACGATTTTCTAGTGTGTTTATGGCTTGTGGTGCGCTGTTGCTTTCATTCTTTTCCTAAGTATTGTTTGTCCTAGTGTAGTTATACTCATTCCATTTGCTTTAATACATAGGTTTTTGATTGTTATGCATATGAAAGAATGTAGTTATCAGCTTAGCGCCGTGGTGGAGCCTAGGCCATGGGCAGGTCATAGGGGGTACGATATGCATAATAGCTAGTATATATTCATATTTCTTAGTATATATGTGTGGATTTATATTAGGAAACTAAATGAACCTAGTTTGCACGGCATGAAACTATACATGTGTGTATTTTTATATTTATTGTTTCAGCTATTTCAAGTAAAACATGTGTTTGGAGTTGATCAACCAAAACTACTTTTGAATTAGTATTCTTTCTACCTTTGCAATACTGCTTTATATATATGTGAACAAATGCAATAAAGGATATGATGCTACTTTGGTTGCTAATCGATTAGTTTCAAATGCAAGAAATGATTAGTTTTTAATGTTATATTTTTATGGTTCAAAAATTGTATAGATGTCACAGTTGATCACTCGTCGTCGGGGTGTGACCAATGCGCCTCCTGCATTTTCAGCACCTACTGCTTCAGCCGTGAGTGCTCCATTGATTGGGGAGCCTACATCCCTTACTGAGGCTACTCCTAGGGCATCCCAGGTGCCTGCATCATCGACGTCATCAGTGTCGATTCAGCCGCTCAGTGCACAGCGGCCTCACCGGGGCCGCCGCCATCCGAAGCCTTCTGATCACACTTCCTCGACATCCACAATCGAGGGTGGGGGCTCCCAGCCAGGTAGTTTTTTCTAATTCTCACTACGTTGTATTTTTTTCATTTTAAAACTATTATTTTTATGATTGTGAAAATTTGTTGCATTGTGAAAATGTGATGTGGGTGTGAATTAATGTTATTTTACTATTTTCAGGTTTTAGGAAATGATATACTATTAAGGGAGGTTTTGCCGAATTTTATGTAGAAATTTAAGATTAGGGTTTTCACCATTTAAGTTATTTTGGGCAGCTGAAAAAAACACTAAGGGGCCTAATCGAATGTTGAAGCCGACACACAACGTACGTATGTCCAAAAAAATGATCAAGATTGCGTATGACTCGCGACATCGTGGAGCGGCTACCTCGCAGCAGCATAGCAGCATCTCTACTAGTTGTAGTTTCGTTTTGGATCAGAAGCTTGGTCATCATCATGGCAAGGTTGTTCGAGGTATGGGGAAGGTGCGGGTTCGTGAGATGGGTGCCTCCTCTTCCAGACCGACCACAGGACAGGTCATTGCCCTGACGAAGGAAGTGGAAACCCTAAAAGCTAAGATTGCGGCCCAGGGTGAGAAGATTGCGGCCCAGGGCGAGAAGTTGAGCATGATCTTACGGGCCTTACAGATGTACGGCCTCCAAATCCCGATGCCAGCACCTAATCTTGCTCCACCTTCATCCTCCTAGCCACTTCGCCCAATCGATACCCAGTAGCATGATGCATCAAACCCAGACAACTACTTGTAGTTTTTTCTTTTATGTTCGGACAGCTTATATGTACATTTTCATATATTTTATAATTAAATATTTTTATTGGTTTATTAATTATTGTTTATAATTTAATTAAATATTTATAAAAAATTAAATAAAAAATATTTTATCAAAAAAAAGAGGGGGGGGGGGGGGGGGCGACAACGAGAACAAGATACGTCACATGAAATTTTTTGCGTAACGCAGGTATTGTCGTCGCACAAAGACCTTTTGAGAGACGCAGGTTACGCCTTTGTCGCGCAAACTCTGCTTTCACGACCTTTGCATGACAGTTTGTGCGCGATGAAGTTTTCGTTGGATTAATTTTCAGGTGACATTTTTTTACTTTGCGCGACGAACTATGCTTTGTCGTGCAAACTATTATTTGTATTAGTGGGTATGAGTAAGGCGTTATGGGAGCAGAAGTTGGAAACTTATACAAGTTCAGGTTTCTTTCGATTAAATTTTTGCAGCGTTCAGATCGCAATCTTTGTGTATGATCAGTGAAGAATATCCGTCAACTGATGGATTTCCTCGTGAATAAGTTGAATTTGAAGCCGTCAACTATTGCGAAGCATCTAAATTGTTATTTCATTATTTTCATTTTGATGATAAAATGCTTATGTCATAAAGGTATTTCATGATACTAAAGGTGAAACCAAGAATTGGTAGGTCCGTCTGAAAGGTAAATATGAAGACGATATACAGGACTCTGTTTTTTGTCCTGGCCACTACATTTGACCATGCAGGATGCAGCTTTGTGTTCCCAAGTCTTAGCCTTATCTGATTTTGGCCAAGAAGTCTATTATGGAGGGTGGGACATAATATATATATATATATATATATATATATATAATGTGTTTCTATCCATACAAGACTAGCTTCTTAATAGAGATTTTGCTTCACCGTTCATGAAACAGTTTAACATATTATATTATCAACAATGTTTTATGGCATGAAATTTTAGCAGTTAAGAATCATTAAGTACAAAAAATGAGTGTAGCGGAGATGAGAATATTTCATTAGATAAGTAGGCATACGAGGAAAGACACAATTAAGAACGAAGATATCCTGGGTAAAGTAGGAGTAGCTGTGATTAAATATAAAATGAGAGAAAATCAGTTAAGATGATTTAGACATGTGAATCAAGGATCTGCAAATGCTCTGGTTAAATGATATGATTACAAGATAGAAACTTGACCTAGGAAGACTTGGAAAGAGAATAAGAAAAGACATGGAGTACTTAAAGCTAATAGAAAACGTGGCACAAAACCGAGCGCAATGACATTCTAGGATATATACAACCAAACCCACTTAGTTTGATAAGGTTTTTTGTTATTGTTGTTGTATGAAAGATGGGACGCAACATATATATGTTCGATACATACAAGACTAGCTCCTTAACAGAGATTCTACTTCACCGTTCATGAAACAAGATAGAGTACTACTACTATCGTGTTACCCGTATAGTGACCAAAGTATTAATCATGTAGTGATCATCTGTGGCGTAGCCAGGGTTTTCAAATAATGAGATCATAATATCGACAAAAAAATTTTATTTGGCCATTTCATCGAGCACCAAGTAGACACATGCCAATTCATGTCAATATATGCCGAAAGTTTATGCCAACATATGTCGCCAACTACTATTACTTGTAGAGGCTTGTCGAGGGTGAATGTAGGATGGAGTAATGTTGAAAACTGCCAAGGTCGTTCAATTGTATTTCATACAAGAAGAGAAAAAAGGAAGACAAATACGATAGAAGAAAATAGAAGAAGTATGAAGAGGAGGTTGTAATCTAGTTTCCTCTAGTTGTCTACAAGGGTCAGATACAATATACAAACAAATATACATGATTTTTTTTTTTAAATTATTCGGATCAAAGACAACCAATGACTCCATGCTGGCTCCTTCACTGGTGATTTTCTATAGTTTAGTGTTTTACCATTTTTATGGATCTATAGTGGAAAGGGTTCTATGTAGGCATGATTACATGCGTTCAATATCGATCCTGCTGTAATGTTTGGTGCTATGTAGACAATACATGAATATCATACATTAGAAAATTACGAGATTACCATCCAAGTGGGGTCATTAGGCCATCTCCAATCGACCCCATCAAAGGGTTATAGGGCTAAAAAAAGTTCGGAATGACACGAAAATCGTCTTCAACTGAGAGCTAGGCCAAAGGGCTTGTGGGCCCCATTAGGCCAAAACACCCAAATTAGGTCAGCGGGTTGCCCATTTCCAGCCAGCCCTTCAGCCCAGCCCACTTGCCATCCAATGGCTACCTGGCGTTAGCATGACGCTAGCTAGCAACGGCTAGCTGAAGTCATGCTAACATCAGGTTACCGTTGAAATTTGATTTTTTTTTTTCTATAAATACCTAAGCCATTTCTATACCATTTCTCACATACGTTTCACTATTCCATACTATCTAAAAAATTATTGAGATTATATAAAGATAAGAAATTCGGAGGCTTATTCATTTAACGACAAGTGACACTTAAAATATGTCCAAAAATCTTATTTAAATATGGTAGTTTAATTTAATTAACCATATTAATTCAATTAAAATAATAAATTATTGAGGGGGTTATGTTTGGCCTATAGTCCCCTCGGTTGGAGATGGTATACAATATGGTCTGATATTGTTTATTAAAATATAATTTTTTGCAAGGCTATAGAGCCAAACATGGTCCTTTGACTTCCTTCGGTTGAAAATGACCTTAGATGTCGTACGATGGTTTTTTTTTTTTTTTTTTTTTTTTTTTTTTTTTTCCCACTACTACTCTATTGTTCGGTTTCATGGGAAGCCCTCATCCCACACTTAACAACTTGCATGATTGATGTGGGGTTTTCATAGGTCTAGTTTGATAACTTGGACCGTACTACTATTTTAGTCAAATAAGACAAAAAGTTATCGAATAGTATTAACTAAATTAATAGGCCGTTAGTCGATTTATCTTTTCGTATTTGACCATTAGATCACCATGTTATAACACTTGTATCATTTATTAATTCTAACCTTTTAATATGACCTCATTGTCCATCTATATTATAACAGTGCTACAACAATGCCAAAAAATTCTCCCGTATTTCACCCTATATGTTAATCGAAACTATGAGAATAAATCAACTTAGCTACGTCTAGTTGCTCAAGGAGTAACTTTAACATGTTTGATTGACATAAATTTGACACCCACCACCAGCATATGTGATATCTGCAATCTACTGTTGAAGTGGATAAGGACTTTTAAATCGCTCTGCAACCAGCACAAGCAAATGCATTTTCTCCGACTTTACTTAGGACTGGTTTGGGGTTATTTAAATTTTTTTTCTAATAGTAGATTCTTAAAAAAGTTAAGACTAAATTCTGTTCGTTAAATAAAAAAATAGTATTTTTTCTTCTTCTTAAAATCATATGTTTAAAACAGCAGGAAGCAGAAATAATTACACACGTACTTCTAAAAAAATGCTTCTTTTTTTTTTTTTTTTTTTTCTTTTTTTTTTTTTTGTTATATTAGAAGTTGGTGAACAATATCAAAGACTTATCTTTTTTTTTTACGACTGTGTATTCTCACAAGACAACAAGTACATTCAAAAATAAATAAAAAAACTACAGAAACTCCAAACTAGCCCTTAAATATACACACCACATGTTCACTTGAAAGTGCTACTCCGGAAAAGATGCAACCAATCCAATGACAGACAGTACCATTAGAGGACTGAGATTTAGTGGTTCTTGTTGTAATGACCCGGTCGATCTTGCAGGTTCATGGCACTGTCATTTATCTCGAAGATTACCTAGCAGTGTTTAAAGCTGTAAAAAGTTGTATAGGGTTGCTCATCAGTTCGAAAACGTTAATATTTCGTCAATCCGCATTCGAAGCGATCGAGATTTGAGTTTTGAGTTTTCCATTCCGATCCAGTAAAATTTGTTTAGCAGTGCTAGTATGATTGTATGCACATATGAAATATCTCCACAAAGAAAGTTGAGATTCCATCATAAAATCAATTGGCAATATAGAGAGTAGTCCAACCTCTTATAAGCCCATGCAAGGTCTCTCATTTCATCAATGTGAGACTCATTCTCAAAACCCTCCTCACGTGTGGCGAATTTTTCGAGCCAAACATGTGAACAACATAACAGAGTGATGTTGAGCACATGTGGCCGTTTGGTTCACATGTGGGACAACCTCGATTTTGAGCGTGCCTACGCATTCGTATCGATGAGAACTACGGAAATAAAATAAACGAAAAAATTCTAATACGTCAATGGACAAAAGTCAACGAAGGTCAACCTTTCCGTCATTAGGGTTATTTTCGTAATTTTAACTAATAAAAGTGCAATTTTCAAAACGGGTCGTTACATCGAGGGTGGATGCAGGATAGTGTGTGGTAATGTTGAAGGCTGCCAAGACTTTTCAATTGTATTTCATACAAGAAGAGAGAAAAAAGAAGACAAATATGATAGAAGAAAATAGAAGAAGTAAAAAAGAGATGTCGTATGATGGGGTTCTTTTCCCACTTCTACTCTATTTTTCTATTTCGTGGGGAGCCCTCATCCCAGACTAATGACTTGCACGATTGATGTGGGCTTTTCATAAGCCTCAATTTGAGCGTACTAATTATTTTAGTCGGATAAGATAAAAAGTTATTGAATAATTTTGACCAAAGTAGTAGGCCGTATAATGGAATATCGGACTAATTTGAGTATTACACATATATAGTCGATTTATTTTTTTCATATTTAACCATAAGATCACGATGTTAAAACACTTGTGTCCATATATATTATAATAGTGCTACAACGATGTCAAAAGATTCTCTCGTATTTCACCCTATATGTTAATTGAAACTACGAGAATAAATCAACTTAGTTACGTCCAGCTGCACTAGGAGTAACTTAAACATGTTTGATTGACATAAATTTGGCACCCACCACATCATATGTGGTATCTGCAATCCAGGGCCGTCTCTAAGATTTTGGGGGCCCTGTGCGAAATTTATAAAAGCGCCCCTCCTTAAGATAAGTCTTAAAAAATGTAGGACAATGTATTGATGCTA